TAAGATGCGACTAATGTAGAACGACCTTTATGCATCAGATGAAATATAAATTATTACATTACAAATTTATTTTTTAAATTTGTAATGTAATAATTAAAGATATCCGTTAACAAAATTCCGATTAGAAATATTCGATAGAACGAATCCGATTAATAGCCCAATCAATAGATAATATTTTTAATGTTTTTAGACAAATGTCTAAAAAATTGATTTATTATTACATTACCAAAAATAACATTAAAAATATTATCTATTGATTGGCTATTAATCGGATTCGTTCTATCGAATATTTCTAATCGGAATTTCCTCAGCGGATATTTCTAATCGGAAAATCCGATGAAAGAGTAACAAACGGATATTTCCGATTAGTCTTCAACGTTTTTTTTTCCGATCACGTTTATCGGAAATATCCGTTTGTTACTCTTACATCGGATTTTCCGATTAGATTAGGCCCGGATTTTTCTCTGTGTATTAATTGATTTGTATTAAAATTTGTAGGTTTAACGACATTTACTGTTTAGCAATGTCGTTCATTGGAATTGAATTTACAGATGATAGTGGTGGTGGCATTGCTCTTGTAAGCAAACAGTGGTTAACACCACGTAAACAGGAAGTGTTCTGGCCGCCTTATAAGTTTCAATCTCAATATGATAAGGCTATTAAAAAAGGCGTAGTTCCTGAGGAAGATGGTTCTTGGAAAATTTTTAAAATTAAACGCTGTTTTTTTGAAACTGGTAATGTGTAAATTACAAAATTTTCTATAAAATATTTATCAAACTTACTATATGCATAATTTATTGTATAATATAATTTATATATGTATAATTGTATTGTAGATGATTATAGTAAAGCACAAAGTAAAATCAAACAAGCACAGATAACGTCTGATTGTCAAAGTGATGTTGACGAGGCTTTGCCATTAAAAAGAACAATCCATAAACCGAAAAAATTAATATACAGCAGCAGTGATGATGAGGACGAGGCTTTATCTGAGAAGCATAAACTTCCACCACCACCAAAGATTGTCAGATTAAATGACAAGGCAAATGACGATGAAGCATCACTTTCATCATCACGTAAGTTTGATATATTAACTAGTTATGGTCATTATATATCAAGATAATAATATTAACATTTTGGTTAACTATAGAAATAGATAAAGATTTATAATTATGTATATTAATTAAGAATTGCTTTCCTAGATTTTAACATTACGAAACATACAGATCTACTCCTTTGTTTATTTATAGTTTTAACACTAAATGAAAAAGATAAAAATCGAGCTGAAGTAAAGACAGAAACAGTAATATTTTACAAGTTACTCAGAGTAGATAAATAAACAATAAATGAACTCTATATCATTTAAAAACAGATATTTACATATTTTACATATATTTTTTAGAAACTTCAAAAAGTATCCAACGAAGTGCAACATCTGATACACGGAGTTCTTTTAATGGTGATCCTCAAACACCTTACAGTCCATCGCATTCAACAAATATATTCAGATCATCTTCGAATAAACAAAGTGCAACA